AAGGTAAAAAAGAAATTTCAATAATTTACTTATATGTGGATAATCCATATAGAAGAAGTAGGTTTTTACGGCATCTATGCTTTAGTTTAAATAAGAAGTACTTGAAAATAAATTTGCCGACACTTTCTTGAGTTTTCAGATGGCCGATTCTGTGAAAAGAAGGAATAGCTCAAGGTGCTGCGGCTTTATTCATGTCCGAACACTTGCTTTACTCATTGCTGTGCTGGAAATTGCCTTTCTCATATATCAGGTAAATTCTGAAGCTTTTTCGGGCTGTTAGAATAACATCTCTATCTAATATACCTTTTCTATAGGGCATTGTTGCATTATCGCATGTTGTGACATCCTCATCATCCCACCATACTCTTTTGGCAACCGTGTACACACTAGCGGTGTTGGTAGCATGGGTCGCAGTGGGTCTCCTTCTTCTTGGAATCCTGTGCCAAATTCCAGCTCTACTCGTACCTCATATGTTGATGCAGGTTTGTCGTTATAAAAGCGACAATCATGAGCATCTGGTTTGATTTTTCAAATAACTTAACATAATATTGGAAACTGTCATTAAAAATGAGCAAAAACAAGTATTTGAGGATCAAATTAATGAGTTTGTAGCGAATGTTTCTGCATAATCATTTTGACCGATGTCATACATTTATTTGGAAAGATTATCTTTTTGCTCATTTTCATTGATATTTTCCAATATTATATTGATAGCTGTAGTTTAGAAAATTCAGAACTAGATGTTCATGATCATCGAGAGATTTCGCAGTATCAATTCTTGTTCTATTACATGCACGAAGAAAAAACTCAGTCTGCACAAAAATTTAATGCATAACTGCTTTGTTTTTTGTAGCGAAAGTTCCTTCTGACATGTACATCCTTTGAAAAAAACATTAGTTTCAAATAATCTGTAATCTTGCTACTACAATTCTTCTCTGAGAAATGGTTATTTGATATTAAAAACAACTTTAGAAGGAACAAAATTCCTAATGGTATGAAAGGTTAGTAAAACTACAAAATTGAATGACCGTATCGAAAAGATAATTTTGGCGGAAGGGGAGGGAGATCTTATGCTGTAGTTCATATACGGTAGTGCCGAGACCTCTTTAGCCTTCTTCTCAGCTGCTGGCTTTCTAAATACAGTGAACGTAAGCAATGTTGGTGCTAGCAGTTCCAACGAACTACTTGCGACATGCCTGTAATTGCATCAATTTAAACTTCTTCACTATGCATTTCTAAAATAAAGTATATGGAAATTCAATAGCAATTTTATTAAAATCGATTGAAATTATGTGTAAGCTTGTTCCACTTCAAAAGCAGCATCAAGTGCAAATTGCTCAAATTCAAAACGAGTTTCGATTGTAACCTCAACCTGTATTCGCTTATAATGTTTGTTTAAGGTGCTGTTTGTGCTCACTCTGCTGGGAATGGCATCGTTTGCAGTTTATGCTATTTTCGCCGGTACCTCTCTGCAAGTCAGGGTAGCAGTAGTTGGTACAGAACAAGAAGCTAACGCGCAAGTACGGTTCAATTTCCTTTTTTTAAAAATATTCACTAGTCTGACTCTTGCATCTTCCACTGAAACCAAAGCATAAATTCTAGTTTGCCTACTATGCGTTGTATCATTCACTGCTATCATCCTTATTTCTGTTTTATGAGCACAAAATGACCGCTGAAACTTTGGAGATTATGTGATTGCTTTTAAAAAAACTACAAAGCAGTGGCTTCCAGGTTGTTCTGTTACATGAAAATGAAAGGCTAAGTAACTATTTGTGTCATGCGCACGGCA